AAGGGAGCTTCGGCGGAGAGGTCGCGGGGCGGGGAAGAGGGGTCGATCGGGAAAGCCGATTCCCCCAGGGCAGCCGGAGTCCCCCCGCGGCCTCACTCGGTCACTTGCCAGCGGGTAGCTCCAAAGCAGCCAACTCCTCCGTCATGATGTCAGTGGTTTGCCTTCAGGCAGGGAGCGTCCAGCCAAAAGCAGGCAGGAGGTGGGGAGAGAGCGCTCTTTTTTAGCCAAGAGTCATCGGGGGGCCAAAGGGGAGGGGGAAGACGGGGTGGCGTGGAGGATCCACGAGGCAGATTTGAGAGTCAATCCAATTTATAGCGACAGGCTGGGGACACTCCAATCAACGATGCCTCCCTATCCTTCGCCACACGAAGAGGCGGTCGGGTGTGGGGGGAAGCTCGCCAAATCCAATCCACCAAGCCGGTCCCTTGATACGCTTTGCAGCTGCCCTCTTTAGCGCGGTGAGCGCGGTCTCCCTTCTGCGCCTTTGGTCGCTCGCCTCTGACAAAGCCTGTTAACCTGAAAGCAAAGAACGGGAAGCAAGTAGGGAGAGGACCCAGGAAAGATCCGGTCAATTGCAAAAAAAAATTTTTTTTTTAAGCGGCTGCTCCTTTCTCTCAGACGGATTCCTCTTTTGGAGTCCCTTTTGGGTCAAGTTGGGGCTACAGTCCAGCCGATGGGGCCCTTTCCTGGAGGTCCCTTGAGCATTCAGCTTTCCAAGTTAAAACACGGTTGGAAACAAATGTTATCAAAGAAAGCCACGGGAGGAACAAGGAAAAAGCTCCAGAAGTAACTTGAAGAAATCTAGCCAGTGGGTCCTGCTTAAAGCTGCTCACTCTCAGGGGTCCCCTTCGCCTCAAGCAATGCTGTCCCGGTTAGTGTTTGGCACTAGGATTTCTTGTGAGTAAGCGCAGACTGAGAGCGCTGCCTCCCTCCGCCAGTTGAGCTTTGCTTGTGCCTCGTATTTTAATTTCTCTCTCTCTCTCTCTAGCTCGCTCGCTCCCTTCCGCTCCTGAACCTGACGTTCCGCCCCCGCTCTCCAAGCAAAAGGTCTCGGTTGGAAAAGCGCTTTTCTTTTCCTTCCCCACCCCTTCCTTCCTTGCTTCCTTCCTTCCCTCCCTCCCTCACCTGCCAAATCATAACGTTGGGCCACTTTTCTTTTAAAACTTTTATACGGATTGCAGCAAGTTCCTGATGTGGAAATAATACCTCTACTTGTTTCTTAAACGAACCCTATCCCTAACTCCCTCCCCGACACACACACACGCACGCGCACATACACACACGTACGCGTAGCAGAAGTTGGCGGTTAAAGATGTGCTTTGCCAGTCTACGAGGAATAACGTTAGCTGCCATGCAGTTAACCTGCCAAGCTGCTAGCCCATTGGGAGGATCGTTGCGGATTAGAGTCTGTGGAAGGGGTGACCGTGGACACTGCGCAGCTTTCTCTTCCAGCTCTTGCCTGTCATGTGGGCCTTATAGCAGCCGACCTTGCTGGACTGTTACAGTATAGGAAATTAGGAAATAAATAAATACATAAATAAACAAATAAATAAATAGCCGATGTGACTGCTGCATCACTTGGAGGGCACATTTGGAGAAGTGACAAGTATAGCGAACAACTATACCCCCAGTATGCTCCACATGTCTAACCTACCATGTCTAAGAGGAGTAGCATGGGAATAGACAGGGAGGCAATTCTAACATGAGAAGAAACAGCAGAGGGTCTTTCCTTGGGTAAGACAGGGAGTCCAGCTGGGCTTCTGGTGATTGCATGGATATGTCCATCTGTGGTTACCTTGTCTTTGGTATGGAAGGTTTGCCTTGCTTGCTACTACCATTGTTTTAAACTTTCCAACCCAAACTACAGACCTGTAATTTCTTGGTGGTCTCCCAACTTGCTAAACTTTTCTTAAGATCAGCCAAGGTTGGCTGGTGCTACCCTGAGGATTATTTAGCTCAGAACTGTCTTGGGGGTGGCCTGTCACCTTCTTTATTGACGGACTTTACTCCTGACTAGCCTAGCTTGGTTCTCCATCAGTAAAAATCGGTCCCCCTTGGGTTGGAGTCAAAACTCAAGTCTCAGGAGATTCAGCCCAAAGTATGAATGGCAGGTAGCAGTTTGGGGAACTTGCCCTTTAAAGAGGTACAGAAAGCAGGGCCAAATTGAGCAACCCAAACAGTTGGATTAGTGTACCTGAAGGCCTTGCCCTCCAGTAGCAGGTAGACTTGCAGAGTACATGCATGCAGTAAATCTAACAAGGTAGCTTAAATAGTGTGGGATCTGCTCAGGATATGGGACAGGCTCATGCATGGCAAAAGGTGCCAAGGAAAAAGATGGTAGGAATCGCTCTGCTCTGCTTCTCCTGATTAGCTTCTCTGAAGGAGGGTCGGGCTCCTGAGGCCCAGTACTTTCCAGTCTTAAGAAGGGACCAGCTTAGGTCAAAGGGCTTTGCAAGGAGGCATTCAAGTGTTATCCATGTCCACGAACATCTAGGACAGTGTGCAAGTGAGAATCAAAGCCGGGCAGCTTGCCAGGGGATCATTACTCTGTGCGGCCACATCAAGCACTGGTCGATCAAGGAGGAAAGGGGGACCGGGAAGTTACCACGAAGAGATGGGCAAAGGAAGGGAGAGGAGACACAAAAGGCAGGGGCTGGCTGGTGCCCTGCGCGCCTCCTTGCTTCTTGGTATTCCGGGGGCATGCTCGGCTTGATCGCTGCCGCCTCTGGAGGGCTTCTCATCGGGGAAATCCCTGGCTTTTCTTAAGGCCTGGCTTCGACCTCCTCCCCGCAATCCAGCGCCCGTCCTTTTCATCCGCTCTCGCCGGAGGAGGAGGGGGTTCGCCTGCTTGTCCCCCTGGCGTGGGAGTGCGTGGGGACGGGGGTGGCCTTGATTCAGCCGCTCTGGCTCGCGGCGCGGCTTCTTTAATAGGCAGCCGCAGGCTCCAAAGGCGGCGAAGCAGGGGAGGGGGGCGAGAGAGAGAGAATAGAGCTTGCACCTGGCACTGCCAGTGGGAATCTTGCCCTTATCCCGGGCAACAGAGAGCGAAGAAACAAAATAAAGCCACCCAGAGCACGAAGACAGCACACAGAGAAACACACACGCAATCACGCCGCTACAGCCGAACGCTCGCCGAAGGCAGAACAAACACACACCAAGCGAGCGCTTTACAACAATGGAAACAGAGCGCGAGAGAAGGTCGGGGCAACACCACATCCTTAGCTCCCCAGCGCCCAGAACTTGCTGCCCTGAAATCCTCCTCGGAGAAATGCGCGGCCGAAACATGAATCGCCTCCCGCGGCTTCCAGGCCCCCTCCCCCAGGCTTAGGCCTCGGTTCTCGGGCCCTTGAGAGCTGGGACTCTCGCGGCCTCCGGGCCGCCCGCAGACTGGGGGCAAATCTGTCAATCAACGCCTTTCCAAACGTGCGCGCGCGCGCTTCGCAGCTTCACACGTTCTCCTCAAACCCGTTTTCTCCAGTAAGCCGAGGACTTTTCTGGACTCGGTTCTGGCTTCTTAAGATTCTGATTTCTGTCCGCAGATATTTCTGGGGACAATCTACTCGGAATTAAAGCCTGCGGGTTTCAGTGGGACTTTCCTCTAAGTAAGCGTGCCCCGCATCTCAGCCTTAACTTGGCAGTCCTTTTACGCTAAGTCCCAGGTGGCTCACTTCCAAGGAGTTGAGCGCGGAATACCAGACTTGCGCCAAATAGGTCCGTTTGCCTCGATGGGCAGTTGTCTTCTATGAGATTACTTCCGAGTCGAAGTGTTTGAGGGTGCTTTGGATGTCCCAATGGAATCAATGGGGATTCCATTGATTCGGATTAATAGGAGCTGTGGGGCCCACGCACCAATCTTCAACCGTACTCCCCTTCTCCCCGCCTCCCTGCCCCCGACGCTTCCTTCCAATGGCTACCACGCAACACGGAGAACAACCCGGGATTCAAAGGGGGCGCGGGAAAGTACCGCAAGCTGGAAGAGGCTCTGTTTCGCCGCTGGCAACGAGGCCGGCGGCAGGTTCATTGAAGCCCTGCGCTTGTCGGAAAAGCCGCTCGGCCACCCGCTCCAGGCAGGGCAGAACCAGCGCTCTCCCGTGGGGCTCCAGGCGAGGCGCAAGGGGGCAAGTCTTTTACGAAGTAGGTGAAAGCGGCGGCGCCGCCGTCAGGCGCCCGGTCCTCTCTCCAGCAGGCCGGAGACGGTCCAGGGAACTTTAGGCAAATGGCGCCGCCTGTCGCTTCTTGCTGGAAAAGGGCCAGCTGCCCGAAAGCTCGTCCTCTTTCCTTCCTCCCTTCCCTTCTCGGCCACCACTGTCTTCAGAGGAAGTGTTATGGCAGACAAAAAGGATTGCCTCAGTGTCTGTTTTTGTACTTCGTTGGCCTTTGCAAGGCCTTAGCGCCGACTCTCACGGAATGTTCTGTGAGCCCTGAAACTGATTCGATAATCATTAATTGATTAATTAGATAAATGATTTGGAAGCACAAGCTCGGCCTGCCTCTTTCACCTCACATGCCTTAAAATCTGATAACCTTGCAGTCTCCTGTAGGGAGACCCTGCAGATACGCTAAAGGTTGAACATTCAAATGTTTCAAGGTCAAAAAAGTTGTTTCAAGTTTAAGCTGGGCTTTTACCACTTTCTATGAGATCTGAGCTGCTTTCGGCAGAACAACTGCCAGTTTCCAGTTGGCAGCACAGACAAATCGAAGAGTTCGCCTTCCTCTCCATTAGCTAAAGAGCTTTGTGGGCGCTTTGTTAAGAAATGCCACTTGCATGAAGTAATTAGGTCAAGTGCAGAGACCACCAAGTGTAAATCTGAGTGAACTGCCCATCTCCAACCAAGATTACTATGTCAGATCACAAATATTAGAAGTTGTTTAAGGTGATCTACTTACTGCAACTTTTAAACAAGTGACTCTTGTATTACCCCATCACCTTGTTCACACCTCATAATTTAGCATTATTTAATAAAAGCAGAGTGCTTCTACCTCAGTGTTCTAGGCCCAAAATAAATAAAAGCAAATGCAGACTATCATAATGATTTTCCATACCTGCATAAGATTGCAATCTATGTACTTGTACTAGAAAATAACCCCACTGAATACAATGGGGATCATTTTTTGCATAAATAAGAACAGTAGAACGGTAGCCTC